TTCTTGTTATGGCTCTCACTTCTTTAGGGTATATACCTAGTAATGGGATGGCTGGGTACTTTTAAACTTTAAAGCAAAAATATCCCCTGAAAGTCTTCTTAAAACCAAATATTTTAGCTTACTTAAAAAAAAAAAAAGTCTTCCTTGAGCATTATGTTCCTTTAAGAACCATATATTGACAATCGTAAGTCAAAAGATGAGATAGGAACCTTAGGGGCAGTGAGTTTATGTTAATGGGGAGGAACAACTCAGAAAAGGAGTGAGAGTGGTCACGCAAATGGAAAAAGGGAATCAGCACTGAATCGTACGGGAGAAAGGGTGCAACTGGTCTGTCTCTTGCTGTGTATATTTCCAAACCCCCACCTCCAAAATAAAAAAAAGATTCACTGAGGACGGACTTTGGGCTTGGAATGGTGTCAGTTTCTGGCCAGCTACACAGATGAATCCAACATGGAAGCTGGTGCCCTGGGGTAGCTGAGCTCTGTGCTCACAAAGCCCATCACAGGGTCCGGGCCCTCGGAGAGCAGAGCTTGATGGCAGAGGAGGGAGTGAAGGAAGGCTCTGTGTAAGACGTGGCATCAGGGCTGGGCCTTGAAGAACATGGGGCTTGCACCAGGAAGATTGGAGACAAAGCATTTTAGGAAGTGAACACTGTGAGCCAAGGTGTAGGTCACTGCCTGGAGGGAGCCTGGGCTGGAAAGCTGGTGGCGTGCGACTGGAGGCTTCTAGAGTGGCATGGGCTAAATTTGATGGGCAATGGAAGGTCCCTAAGTAGTTGGGGCAAAGGCAAGACCAGCAGGAGACCTGATATGCAGCTTGCTTGTTGGGGGGCGGGGCAGGCGCTTCTCATCAATATGGTGGAGAGATTAAGTACCTGCCTGAGGTCTCACAGCTACAGGGTAATGCACAAGCCAGGAACTGAACCCAGGCAGCTAGCCTCAGATTCCGAGTCCTTAGCCATGAGTAGATCAAATGCTACTTGGATGTCAAGGAGGATACAAAGAAAGATCCTGCAGTTAGCATGTGGCCACGGGTGAGCTTTAGGAAGGCTGTTTTTGTGGGGGAAATATGGGGTTGTGGGGACGGTGCTGGGAAAACATAAGGTGGGGCTTCCCAGGCCGAGTGTGGAGAAGGGATCTCAGAGGGCTGTGCGCACGGGCCCTCCCCCTCCGCTGGAGCTTCCGCTGGCCCCGGCACAGCCCACCTGCCACCCGACAGCAGCGCATGCAGGGCACATCTTGATGTGCTCCAGCGTGGGATGCGGCAGGCTGTCCACAAGGATGGCAGGGCAGGGGCCGGAGGAAGCAGGGTGGGGGACAGGCTGTGTCTGAGGAGCGAGGGGAAGATGGAGGAGAACAAAGGGCCAGGTGAGGCTGATGCGTCCAGGAGGCAGAGGCAGGGAGGGACGGGCAGGCAAGGCGTGTCGCCATGTGGCCAGGCTGAGGGGAAGAGGGGAGCTGAGCACCCGCTTATCAGCTGGCCCGAGTGTAAGGCCACAGTGAGGGGGCTGGGGGGGGGCAAGGGCCCCAGGGAAGGAAAAACGCTGAGGTAAACGCTGCAGGAAGTGTGAGTCACCGGCAAGGAAAAGCAGAGGTGCTGAGTGACAGTGACAGGGGCAGACGGATGGAGAGTCACCCAGTCGTGGAGTCTTTCGGCCTGGCCTTGGGAACATGCCCTTTGCTTCTTTTTCACCAGCCAAACCGTTCCATGCCCACCCTCTGAGATGCTGCTTCTCTCCCAGGGACCCTCCGGAGGGTCCTCGGTGCTCCGCACGGGAGAGGAGACCCCCAGCTCAGAGGAGCCGCCCACCCCAGCAGGCGCCTGTGATTGCCTCCCTCCAAAGGGAGGACCGAGCCTTTTCTGATGACGGCAGTGAGGCCCAGGAGGAGAACGGTGACAACCAAGCAGTTTCTTTTGTTCCGTGCTTACAGCCTTACTACAAAGTCTCAGATCCGTAATAATAACAGACTTTAATTTTTCAAGCAGAAAAATCCTGAAGCTATGCTTTGTAGATTATTCCAAGAACCACCTCTCTCTGAAAACATGATGATTGAATGGCGTGCCCCGACTCTTGGCTGTGGCAGTGGGTCCTGAGCTTGGCTCTCAGAGGCATCTGTGTGTGAGCTGACTACAGGCGGCACCTCACAGCCAGGCCCAGAACTGCTGGGTCCCAGGCGGGGAAGGACCGTGTGCAGGTCCCACACACGCCCCTTTCAGGGTCAGCACACGCGTGTCCTTCTCTCCCACCACGTCCTGAAAGCGCCCCACAGATGGAGTGCCCCCAACCTCCTGTGGAATGACAGCGCTGTGACCTCGTCATTCTCGTCGCCAGTTTCCCCTGGAGATGTAGCTTGTTTCCTTCTCTGTCTCATTCCAACCCTGGGCGGTCCTCCTCCAGTGTGTCCACCTCATTCTATCCGACAGTCGGTCTCGAGCGCTCAGGAAGAGTCACTCCACCTCTTCTCTCTCCCACACTTCACAGTAGTCTAGCAGCTTTCCTTGGGTGCACAGGCCACAGGACGTCTGGCTTCTGGGGCTGAGTCCTTTCTTTCTGTGAGGAGGACACTCTTATCAGGGTAATTGCTACGCACAGGTCAGGAAGAATCAGAGAATCTGACAGGGCATTTGCTTACTCTGAACCCAGTGGGTCAAGAACCTCTTTAAAAGTCTGATCAAGGCGCTGTACCTCCTCCCCTAAAACACTGATGCATGATGTTGCCATGCACTGAATTCCATGGGGCTCCTAGACCAGCCGCATTCTCCTGCACTAGCCTCATTCTCCTGGACCTAAACGTATCTTCGTTGCTTCTTCTGAACTCTCTGATTATAGTGCTGAGCCCTGACCAGGTGCCACTTTTAACCCAGAGGAGCTCTTAACACTTACTACCTGTAACGGCAGAATGACAAGCCTCCTACTCCTTATCCACCAAAGCTGGCTACCAGCACACACTGGCCATGCTGCCTTAGTGAGGCTGTCCGCGTCTCAGACATGTTGTTCGTGCTGCGCCAAACTGTCTGCACCAACTTAGACATGCTGTCCACGTAGCCTCAGACACGCTGTCCACGTAGCCTCAGACACGCTGTCCACGCTGCCTCAGACACGCTGTCCACGCAGCCTCAGACATGCTGTCCACGCAGCCTCAGACACACCATCCACACCATCTCAGACATGCTGTCTGCCCCGCCTAGACACACTGAC